CAAATTATGATAACTTTCATGTATTATCTTGTATTTATTATAATTAAAACCCATCTGCCATTTATTTGCCCAACTCACTAAATGATCTAAATCCTCTTGTAAATCAGCAGTATCCTCTTCACAGCTAGCAACACCCAAGACCCTAATATCATTTGCAAATTTAAGTAATTTATTGATTATCCCTTCATCTATGTCATTGATGCAACTCAAAAAAAGCAAAGGTCCTAAGACTGAGCCCTGAGGTACTCCACTTGTGACATTAATTCAGTTTGACTAAACTCCATTTTTTTATTATTTACCAGCCCATTATGTAGAAACTTGTCAAATGCTTTTTGAAAATCCAGGTACACAAAATCTACACCCTTACCCTCATCTACATCAAGGAGTAACCTTTTCAAAGAATGTTAAAATAAGTGTAAGGCAAGATTTTCCCTAAGTGAAACCATGTTGACTATCCAATAAAATTCTAAACTTTGTTATATGACTTTGCAAAGCATCTTTTAACAGACTTTCCAACTATTTTACCACAACTGATGTAAGACTAATGGGTCTATAATGTTAAAAGATGTGTAAGGCAAGATTTTCCCTAAGTGAAACCATGTTGACTATCCAATAAAATTCTAAACTTTGTTATATGACTTTGCAAAGCATCTTTTAACAGACTTTCCAACTATTTTACCACAACTGATGTAAGACTAATGGGTCTATAATTACTGGGATAATTTAATTATTACCTTCCCTGAAAATAAGTTACATTAGCTAAACTCCAATCCTCTGGTACCTGCACACACAAAATAGTAAGTGGCTTGCATATTCAATCTTTCAAAACCCTTGGGGAAATATTACCTGGCCCAGGAGTCTTATTTTTTAAACTTCCCAATTTTTTCTTAACCAGCTCAGAATTAATGCTGTGATCTTGTTTGATCTAGTTTCTATTTATCAACTGATCAAGATGTTGAATACTGCTTAACTTCATTAGTGAAAACCAAAGAAAGTAAAATTTAATAATGCAGCCATCTCATAATCATCAGATACTAGCCTTCTTTTATCATCCCCCAAGGGTCCTATCCCTATCCTAACATTTTGTTTCTCAGTAATGTATTTAAAGAAATCCTTACTGTGAATTTTTACATTTTCAGCCAACTTTTTCTCCTACATCCTTTTTTGATGTCCTAATTTCCTGTATCACAAACTTTCTTGATCTTCTAAGTCTCCTGTCATACTGGTCAACTTAAATTTTTTTTAAACTTGTGATGCTTTTTATTAATTTTATTTCTTAAACTCTTTGAGCCAACCTGGTTTTTTTTTTTATACTCGTAATTACCCTTTTCTTTCTATTAGGATTGTTTACATTGAATATTTAAAAACTTTCTACATCTGATCAGTGTCTCCAAATAACTCAGCTGCCCAATTCACAACAGAACTCTTATCGCATCCCTTCAAATTTTGCTTTTGAAATTTTTAACCAAAATATCATTATTTCTTATCTCCATATGCAGCAAAACAATGAACCTAATAGAGCAATGATCACTTGCATCCAGATGTTCCCCAATTTCCACCCTCCCAATCATTTCTGTATTTAAAGTTAACAATAACTAATAGCATTGCTTCTAGTGATTTGGATTTCTTAATATATATAAACAAAACTGTCCGTTATTGGATTTGAATTAAGAGAAACACTTTTATTTATATTCATTCATTATTTGTGCTAACTTTCTGATAATTCCTTCTTTCCTACCTCTCTTGATTACCTAGACACTTTGATAGAAAGATCTGCTTTTATGGAAGAAGTTTATCCCAAGTTGAGGTTAAAATGTGCTGAAAGTGGATACGAGCTCAATGTTGTAGACTTGCACTGGGGTTTTGCTGGTGACTGTCTGGATGACCACAGTTTCAAAGAAGTTTGTCTTGATACCATTAAGGATATAAAAGGAAAAGGACACTTAATTACTCTGGTAAAGTATATTTTAAATGATTGGAATAATACCCCTTAAATGTTTGGCATGGATTACTTGTGAAAGTGCTCCAACATTGTTATGAAAGAGTTAAGAGTATTCTTTTTTTATTTTATTTTGTCTAGCCTAATTGAGTTGTGGAACATTGTGGTATATTATGAATTAAGATAGTTAATAGAGAGAAAACTTTTTTCATCTTTATTTCCCTGTCCCTAGGTCTTCCTTAATGATGTACTGGATAACCCTTTGTTACCAAGAAAAGTTATAGCCACTGATTTCAAATTACTCATTGGGAACTTGGTGTCTTTGGAGAAGAAAGAACTCTTTGAAAAATGGTATTTTCTTGATGAAAATGCAAATCCACCATCTTATGTTCTAAAATTAATCAGTGAACATGTGCCTGGTATACTTCAAAATTCATTGGATGCTAAACTAGAGGCTATTGGTCAATGGAGAAAAGAAGCAAAAGAAATGTTAGAAACCTTAAACTTGACTTTAGGAGAAAAAGAAAAATCCAAATATTTATCAACAGGTTTGACATTTTTGTATAAATTGGACATTAAGGTTGTAAAAGAATGCTAACTTGCAATTAAACTTTAATCTGTTACATTATATATAAACATAATCATTGTCTTGAAGTTCTACTATTGTTGAAAATAAACCTTTCTTAGAATAGTAAAGTTTTAATTAAATAGTATCTTAGTATATTTTTCACTAAATTCAAAATGTACAGATTTCTCGTTTGTCTGGTTATTACAGTCGTAGAAGATGAAATAAAAACTAACGTTTCTTACTCGATGACTAAGTACTGTTTGTGGGTTGAACGAAGATATACTCACCGTTCCAAGACCGAGGAATCTGTAAAGGGTGATAAAGATCATGATATTAGCCTTGAAAAAACGGCTGCTTTAAAGCTGGAGTCTCTGAAACTATATCTGGATGAACATCTTCCAGAATCGCAGAAGTTGGTATTTCGTGTTAAATGGCACGATGGCAGCATTAATCCAGAAGCTGTACCGGAACACAAGGAATACTTAAATAAGTTGTGTAAAACTGTGGAGGAAGAACTTTGTGCAATGATTGATCGACTATGTGAAGAAGACCTTATTGAAGAGTCTCGTCAATTGTACAAAGGTAATTTTTTTTTTTTTCTTAACTACTAACTGATGTATAATTGAATGAGAAACTATCAACATTTGAATTTACGATCTGAGCAGTTCCTAAAATAATACATGGACCTCAAGTAATTGGGGGAACCCTCTCCCCATTTTTTTCCCACAGTTCAAACATGACCACCACTATTTTAGAACTATTAACAGAGGAAAACCAGTTGATAATATCTACTTTGTCAACTTCTAACCAAATAACTTAATTATAACGGTTGACAACACCCAGTTGTAAGTTGAACAAATGATGGAACTGTTTATTTTAATCATCTTGTGATGGATATTGGTGATATAATATGCATTGATGTTAATAACATGACAACTTAAAAAATTGTGTATTGTTATTTAGTAATCTTGAGTTCTTTAACGTTATATCAGTCTTCAGACACTGGAATGTACAGTAATTTCTGTTTATTCTTATTTTCTTGTACCCCATTCTTCCCTAGGTATAGAAAATCAACTGTATACTGAACTTGTACAGCAGGCAGCAACTTGCAAGGCTCTTCTCTCTTCATTTATTGGCCGTCAAGAGTTTTTGTCAGAATTACAGAAGTATGTTACTTCAGATTCTTCTCATCCTATCGTTATCCATGGACCTCCTGGATGCGGTAAAACTGCCTTAATGGCCCAGGCTTCACAACAGTGCTCGGAGTGGTTACCAGTTTCTCCCGTTATTGTACGCTTTATGGGTACAACTTCAGAATCAAAAACACTAGATCAAGCTTTGCGAAGCATATGTGAACAAGGATGTGCTCTCTTTTGTGAACATCCATCTTTAGCGTCTAAGGTAAGTCATTAACTCTTGTATTCAGTAGTTACTACCTCTGATAACTGTGTAACTAATTAGGAGATTTTGACAGTGATTAACGAATCCTTGTGTGTGTGTGTGTGTGTGGTAGTAGAAAGGAACAGCTTATTCAACAAACAATTCTATAGAAGGTGTTTGAAATATTGAAAAAACTCTACACACAAATGAAATGAAAGTGATTAAAACAGTGTTGGATGAGATATGAATTTTCAAAAAAAGCATACGAAGAAAAAATGCACCAGTTAATGATGTTAAAGGCTTTAACTTGTGGAGGTTTTAGTTTAACGTTTAACTTACCACTATAGAACTTTATTTTAAGTTCAATTAATATTTGGATAGAGCATCTATCTTGGGATTGACAGATAAATTTTAAGACTTCTGAAAAACTTGACAAATTGTACTTCTAAAGTTTTTAAAATTTTCCAGATATTTAAGTGTATAACGTGTTCAAAATAAAATAACTAGAACCTGTTGATTTGCACATCAGAGTGGCTGGGAACCACAAGAAGTTCTAGAGGTAATTATGGACAAAGTAACTTCGCACCATCCTTTGATCATCTTCATAGATGGGTTAGACCAGGTAGCTTCATTCAGCAGTAGAGACCTAAGGTGGCTGCCGGCCGAACTACCAAAACATGTGAAATTGATAATTAGTGTTCGGGATGAAACCGTAGAATATCGGGAGTTGAAGGTAAGACTGACTTAATATCTGAGGTACTAGTGAATTATTGTAATTATATAATCAGTGTTAAACTATTCATTGTAAACTATATTCTAAACCCCCACCTCAACCACACATTTGCCATTTCTTGTACAAAATGTCATTACTCTTTTCAGAATAACACGTTGAGTCAGACAGAAGGAAGCTTTATGTTTCTTCCTGGATTCTCTCAAGAAGAGAGCCTGTCTCTTGTGGAAGAAGTGTTGCAGAGGAAAGATCGAAAGATAACTGACGCGCAGTGCCAGCTCCTTCAACAGTGTTTTGACAAGTGTAGCTTACCCATATCTGTTGAGCTCTTAGCTCACCAGAGTTCTGAGTGGGTAAGTGCTCAAGGACCTGATGACTTGATAATCAAACAGATGCCAGAAGATGTGTTTATGGACACTGTAACAGAGATAGAGAAGTACTTAAGTGGTGCCACCTTGGGTTTTATAATTGGGCTGTTAGCAACTGCTAAACATGGACTTTCTGATGCTGAAGTATTAGATATTATAACCTGTGAAAAAACGTTGTTAGAAACAGTGTTGCTTACCTTGGGTGTTTCTACTCCTAAATATTTTCCTATCTTGCTTTGGTATGTAGTTAAAAGAAAACTATCTGTATTTTCAAATACATCTATAGTGGGTAGTAAATGTTTAATATCTTGGAAAAATTCATTTAGGTGCTTGTGTGAACAGTACTGCCGTCATGTGGGTGAGACCACCACCTCCATTAGTGTTGCATTATTTAACTATTTCCAAGGGCAATCTGAAAGGGACTCCAGTAAGGAAAAATCTTCAGAGAATGTGAGTAACTTGGTGCTAGATCAGCCACTTTTTTATAAATATTATCCAAATCATAGAAAATTAGATGAGTTGCCTTTCCACTGTTTGCAACACTTGGAAGACAACTGGGTTAGACAGAACTTTTTTTTAAATACAAAATGGTTGCAAAGTAAGTTACAAGGATCTGATCCCTATCAGGTGCTAGAAGACATTGCCATCTATCAGTCTCGTGTTCCATCTGATTCTGATGTACTTCTCCTACAAAAAGTCATTCAACTTTCCAGCTATGCTCTTAGGTATGATGGAGTGCAGTTTTTGTCTCAAGTTTATGGCCGACTATCTCAAATCATGACTTCAAGTGAAAGTGAAAAATTTCCCTGTGTTAGAACAATGTTTCATACTGCATCTTGCCCACCAGTTCCTAGTCTTCTTCCTCTGATGCCTTGTCTTTACGAACCAAATCTACATCAAGAACATTACGTACAAGAAACTAATGATGTAAATATTGGAAGTTATTTTTGTGGCTTTCATTGGTTGCAAAATGACTCGACTCACGTGATCTCATTTTCCACCCAAAGTGGAGAAATAACGATTTGGAATATTTATGAACCCGCTCCCGTCAGAACAATCAAAGGTATAATACAGCCTAAGAATGTTAAGATGATTGATTCTTATCGTGCTTTGGTTTTGTGTAATCGAGAACTCAGAGTTTATGATCTGAATGAGGGGAAGCTTCTTGTAAAGTTGAAAGGTGTGATGAACCAGAAGATGGCATACTTTGGCATACATAGCCAAAACTACGCTGTAGCACTTTCCAGGAACCGGATGTACGTGAACATGATAAATCTGGGAACAGGAGACCTAGAGACCACCTTTAAAGTTGGTGAAGACAGGTAATGTCGTACTAAGTATTGATAGTATGTTGTACTCATATTGAAGCAAGTTGTTTTTGACTTCTGATATAATGCCATTCCTCACAACATAAGTTGCATGCATAATCTTTTTCTAACAGTATGGCTTCTTCTCGTACTGCTTTATTAATTAACAGTAGTTTTAATGATTCTTGTATCATTGATAAATATAGCTAAATTTATAATTATAACAAATTTTTAATCACTTCAAACTTAATATTTAAGTACTCACCTGATGGTTGTTTCGTTTCCATAGTGTGAGTTGGAGGTTGTATATCAAATATGGGTGTAAACTTTAAAGGTGTAGAATTGAGTTTTTTTTTTAATTTTTATTTTTATAGAAGCATACCTCCACAAATTTCCTCTTCAAAATGGTTTAGAAGAGAAAGTGTAAATTATAAAGTCCTGAAAATTCAGGATAACTGAAGACTTTCAGACTTTGTACAATAGTGTTTTTCTACTTGGCAAACTATAAATTAAATTCTCACGTTATATATGGAACTTTTGACTTGCAAGCTGTATCGTCATTTTCTCAATTTTGTAATTCTTTTTTTTTCCTTGGCAATGATCTTAACAGCAGAAATGATTTTACTTTATTTGGCTACAGTATTGTTTTCTAAAACTTTAAGCTAAATAATAAGTGAACTTTATTACAAAGAATTTAACACTACTTGACTTTTGAGGTGGAATTTGAACTTTTTTTTTGCTCTGCTACCTAGGTGAATAAAATTCAGATTTAGAAATATTTTTTTGCCACTTTAGATGTGACATTAATAGCATTAATGTGAACATTTTCAGTAGACTTGTTAATTTTAGAACTACTCGGAACAGTGTTATACCTTTTTGACATTAAGAGTAGATGGAACAGCAAAGTTAATTTCTTGCTAACTCATTGAACTGAGATATTGGTTTCATTTTTCTATTGGATTTGGACACTTGGTTATTACATACGAGGATGACTTTAAAAAAAATAGTGAACTTGTGCATAGCAGTTAGTCAGTTCTTTGTGTTTAGTAAAGCTACAGATCTAGAAAAGGTGTTAACAGAGTATATATTCTATTGTTTCAGGTTTTTAAACAGCTTATTAGTGAGTGACAACGGAAAGATTTGTGTATGTGGGGATGAAACTCAAAAACCTTTCCCACTATTGGTGTGGGATTTAACCAACAGAAGGCTCTTGCACGATCTGCGGATACCAAACCACGAGTTTTTAACTCGTATGTCGGCAATCACCAGTGATGGGCACTATGTGGCGTGTGTTTGTAGGGTGAGTTACTGACTTGTTTTGTAACTTAAGGTATTGACATTTGGTGGGCCGCTTGTGTAACCGAATAATGTTTGTACAACATGCTCTTAATTACTCTCAAAGAAGTAATTTGTTTAACACCAGACCTTGTTAGGCTGGCTGGGTTAAATGTGTAACGACTTGGAGAAATGCTAACTGTAGGAATTATTCACGATATATTTAACTGGAGGAGTGAAAGTTTTGGGGAAGAAAAATTAATATGTCAGGAATTACTAAATCTCTGATGGGGCTACCTAACCTAATCCATATGTGTGTGTGTGTGTGTGTGTGTGTGTGTGTGTGCGTGTACAAGAATACCGCATATCTAGTAACCTCTCAAGGCTTCAGGAAGGGACGTGAACGTTCGAGAATATGACATTAGCGTCACGTGACCCCCACTGTCATAACAGTAAGTTATCTAGAATCAAATGTGTCCTAAGCTAATTTTGTTTTTCCAATGAAATTCTAGTATCATTGACCTGTAGTGTAGTAGGAAAACTGTCATTTGAAATAATTTAGTTAGTGCATTAAGTCTGCATATAATACTAAAAATCAGTTTTTCATATTAGTGGTGAACACAGCCCATAGTAGCTTTGTGCTTAACAAAAATTTAACTAATGAGAGCCTACTTAAATTTGCCATGCTTGTTGTGGCAAATTTATTAGTTTAATTTTTTTTTCCCCTTTTATGTTAAGTGTTTCAATCCAAGGGTAAGATAAATATAATTTCGTAATTCTGTTAATTTTCAGTTTTATGGCAGTTGTCAAGTGCATTGCTGTAATTCTTATCAAGTGGTATGTTATTTAAGAACAGTAATGATCTTGTACTAAAGCTATCTCTCTCTCTCTCTCTTGTGTAGGAGTTGAGTGATAGCGGTCCAACCTTCATTATCGTGTATGATCTCCAGAGTGGAACTTTATTCAAGAAATGGAAGCCTGAAAATAGCAGCTGTAGTATTGCCATTTCTTCATCAGGAGGCTGTGTTGTTAATGGCTTAGAAAACACATGGATCTTGGTATGGGATTTGGCTAATGGAGGATGCAGGTAATTTACTGAGTTTTTAAATGATGCTTGTTAATCATAGTGGGAAGTTGTATCTGGCTGGTGTGCTGAGCTGTGGATCGGCAAATGGAGGATGCAGGTAATACTAAGAGTTGTTAAATGATGCTTGTTAATCATAGTGGGAAGTTGTATCTGGCTGGTGTGGATTGGCAGGTTCAAGATGCTAATGTTCCACCGGACCCCACTTTAATATATGGGGACATTAATTGTGACATTCAATGCTATTGCTTTGTTTACAAGCAGATGTATAAACCAGCTGCTTTCATAATGTTACAAGTCTGTATTATTAACAGGGTATCTGTTAAGTGTCATAGCCATATGTACTTGTAATACATAATATTTCAATTACCAAAAATACCCTTTATATCAAAATTAAAAGACTTAATTGTTGCTAAAGAAATACCTTGTGTATGTATAGTAGTGCTGCCACCTAGTGTATGTATAGTAATGTTCTAATATCACATAAAGTTGCTAGCTATTTAAATTGTGGTTTGATGGCAGTTTTAAATTGGAAGAAAATTAACTTGTCGCTTTGGTTTCAAAGAAATTGTTAATTTGTGGAATATTTTGCAAAGCAAGTTACATATTGAAAATTACCTTAAAATTGGAGAACAGAAAAACTTTGTTAAAGTGGCATCACTGTGACTTTGAAGTAGTTGTTGTTTAAAAATTAACTTGGTCCCACTTAGGACTTTGTTTTTATTATTATTTAATATCATAGTTTGGTACCGCAGTTTTCTTGTTGCAAAACCTTTAGATACAAAAAAATAAATATCCAAAAACATTTCTGGATTGACTTGTTTTGACTATTACAATGAAAATGGTATTGACCCAGTTCAGTTAATAGTGTGTTAAATCAATAGATTTGACTTCTTTTCCACCAACTTTTTTTTTTCAGTATGACTAATTACATAATTAGTGTACTTCAAAATTATGGAACATAACTGAAGGTGTTTATAAAAGTTTATTTTGAAATATCTTGTTAGGTCTATATTGAGAGGTCATAGTGCACCTGCCGATACACTTAAAATGGATGAAAGTGGAACTCGATGCCTTTCGTTTGACTCAACTGGAAGAGATAAAAGTATCAGAGTGTGGGATGTAGTTAAAGGTAACTATCTCTTGTGTAATTTGTCAGGTATAAAATAATCAATATTCTTGCCTAAATAATCGTACTTTTGTTCTACCTCAATGGGAAAAATCCAATGACATTGGAAAGTATGATGCATAAGGGATTCTCTAGAAGGAACAACAAAGTATGAATGCTTATTACACAGGCCTACAATGATTTATTTTCTTGACGTTTTTACTTGTATGGTAATTCCTGTACACTGAATTCGAAAATATCCATTTTTCTCCATGTACAGATTTTTCACAAAACTATAATGCAATACATAAGACCAACATGCAGTTTGATACTAAGTTTTGGATTTTACAACAACAAAAAAAAAAAAAAAAAAATGGATAAATGAGGATGCATATTCATTTGACATCAATGTTTTTCCCTTTTCTTCAGTTCCTTTTTTAATGTTTAACAAAAAAAAAACAAATGTTCATTTTGGTAAACGTAACAGTAATAATTTGAAGTACGTTTTTTTATATATATGTGTCAAATATTGGCTTAGACCTGGACAAGTTTTTATTTAGGAACAATCTCCCCCCCATGCATGTTATTAAAAAGTTTGCTTTAAGTGTTCATCAACAACTTTATCTAATTATGTAACTGTATTTATTAATTAGCCAAAGAAATGATAGCTACCTACAGAAAATTAAGTATCTAATTTCACTTTTCTTTGTTTACAGGTCAGTGCCTTGCAGTATTTACACCTGATCATGACATATTGTGTTGCGAGTTCTCTCCTGATGGTAGAGCAGTAGCGATGGGTCTGAAAGGTAAAGATAAACTAATCACTCTCCTTCTCTGTCACTGTTGTACAGTTAAAGATGGAAAGAGGAAGACTTCAGATTTTGGAGACCCAGACAACAGAGGCAAGGTATTTGATGCAAGTGAAAAGGAGTAGGTGAAACAACTTAAAGAAATTTAATGATAATTTAATGCAATTTCATTCTACTTACTTACACGCACATGAATGGTGTTAACACCTTTTTACTGTAAGACATGATACTTTAGAAACTGATGTATTAAAAAACAACTTTGTTTTGCCATTCCTACCCGTATTCAAACATCTTGGGAACATAGCGACTTGTTAGAGGACCGTTCTTTCTACTAGGAGTTGTAACTATCGGGAAGTGATCCTTGTATAGCACTTAAACAATTAAAATTAAACGTGTTGGGATCATATTTGAAATGTTCATTTAATTTATTTGTGACTTCTAGTATTTCTTGTTTACACTGCCATTAATTTTTTTGTAATTATTTGCTTGGTTTGTTTATGTTTTAGAATTTTAAAATGTGCTAAAATATTTTAGGAGTGATCTTTTCATTAACAACTAAGTGGCTTTGCTTTTTGGCATTTGATTTTGATAATTGCTAATACCAAGTTTCTCTTAACTGGGTGATCAGAATATTAAATATGATGTTGAATAAATGACCTTTGAATACACGGCTGAAGTATTCTTCCTTACCCCCCCCCCCCCAAAAAAACTAACTAAAACGT